ACTGAGGGCTGGTATGGATGTAATCATTAATGTGTCTGAGTGTATTTTCTTTCTGAAGTCTGCTCTTTTCTTGCCTCTGACTTAATCAGCTATTCTCAATACAAACTACTACTGAACTGTGGTTTGTGCTTAATCAGTTATTCCATTGGATAATGCTCTCATGTAATTTTGAAAGAAATAAATAAAATTCTTAAAGCTGTTTGAGCAGTGAAATCTCTAAAGCGCCATTGGAGACCTACTGGCTGATGTCAGTGTTCTGCATTTTTCTTAAATGTTACCAGTTACAAGAGGTACAAACTGTGGCTTGTTTTGAAAACTGAACTTACTTCCCAGAAGATTTTCCAGGGCAGGTATTCATGATGCTGAGACCAGCAAGTGCTTTTTTACACCATGAGACCAACATCCATGAAGGTAAACAAGGTTTGCCTCTTGTCATCCATCCTTCAGTAAACCAAATGATGGTTAAAAAACAAGACCAGTACTAACTTCCAAGCTAATGTATAGTGGACAAGCCTCATGTATAATGGTTTCTACATTTATATGACTGTGTGGAAATGAATTAAACAGTCCCTGGATGTAGTGTTGAAAGCACGGTGTGACACGTGTTCAGTCTGGAGCAAAGTAGCAAAGACAATCTCCTGATCTAGATAAGATAGAAAGGGTTTTTAACAGACATAGAATAGGAAGGAAGAGGAGGTTATCTTTTTTCATAGAGCTGGGAAAAGAAAAAAAAAAAAAAAAAAAAAAAAAAAAAAACACCAAGGGAGAGCATGCCACTGCTGTGGATATGTGGGAAGAAAACATCAAAAAAGTAATTGCACAGGCTGAGGAGTGTTTCTGACTTTGAACAGGAAATGTGTTTAACTTGAAGTTCTTCTGTTGACACTATTTCTGATTCAAAGGTTTCTGGTCCTTGCATTGTGATCACAGGACTTTACAAAGAGCAGATTTTTTAGTTCAGAATTGTTAAGATATATATATTTATTTTCTTTTTTACACTGAGAATGGAAATACAGTATGTATCTGCTGTTCCCAGGTCCAAACACAGTGCTGACACCTTTTTCAACCAAGAATTTCTGTGCTTTCTGTCATGGTTTGATCTCAGAGTGCAGCATGCAGCTGCTCACTCACCCCTTTCCTCTCAGGATTGGGAAGAAGAAAATAAAGCAAAAGTCTCAGGAATCAAGATAAGGACAGGAAAAGATGATGCACCCACTATGGTTATGGGCAAAAAATGGGTTCTTTGGGGGAAGAAAAAGAACATAAATTTAATTCAGGCACTAACAATAGACAGAATAGGACAGTGAGAAGCATTACCACATCTTAAAAGCACCTTTCTCAGCCACCACCTTCTTCCCAGGCTCAGCTTTGTTCCCTATTTCTCTACCTCCTCCCCACCAGTGGCACAGGGGGGAGGAAATAGGGGTGTGATCAATCCTGATGTTTCTTCCTCCTCGAGAGGGTCGAGGGAGAACTCCTTGCATTCTTCCCCTGCTCCAGAGTGGTGTCCCTCTCATGGGAGACAGTCCTCTATGAACTTTTTCCAATGTGAGTTCTTCCCACGGGCCAAAGCCCTTCCCCAGCTGCTCAAGTGTGGATCCCTTCCAAGTGTTACAATCCTCCCAGCGCCAAACTACAACAGCAGAGGCTTCTTCCCACAGAGTCCAGGCCTTTTTGGGGAGCAGCTACCTGCTCCAGCATGGGATCCTCCATGGGCTGTGCATGGACATCTGCTCTACCCATGACCTACATGGGCTGCAGGGGGGCATCCCTACATCTCACCATAGGATACAGGGAAGTCTCTGCTCTGGCACATCTCCACCCCTTCCTCTTCCTTCCTTCCATGGACCTTGGTGTTTGCACCTTCTGTAAATCCTCCCCACAACTCCCACTCTTCCTCCCAAGTTCCCCTTCTTAAATATGTTATCACAGAGGCACAGAAACCATCGCTAATTGGCTTGAGCTTGGCAGAGGCAGGTCCAACTTGGAGCTGGGAGAGCTTCGACAAACTTGTCACAGGGAGGCATTGCTGTAGCCCCCTCTTCTGCTACCAAAAATCCCCTCCACACACACAAATCCATCACATTTACTAAGTCTTGAAAATATTCATAGTAATATTACCCAAAAAATGGGCTAATCATGCAAATCAACAACAGCTCTATGAGTAGGGGGGACCAATAAATGGTTATGACATAGGAATTCTAGCAAATGCCAGAAGTATCTTTAAGCAGAAATTGTACTGTCAGTATGCTCATTGATATCAAAGCTATCAAAAGAAAATATAAAGAAAATCAATAAAACAAGAATGGAAGGAAATGGAAACAATGGCTGAGGGGGAAAAATTAGATAATATTCATCTAACTGTGAAAATACTGCAGTCACAGTGAATGCCCTGCAATCTCATGTGGGTGAGACAAATGGGAAACACAGGACTCACTACAACCTACATGTTCTGTTATCAGGAGCATAAGCAGCACAGAGATAAAGTACTTCACCCAGCTACTGCTAGTATTAAAAATGTCTCTGGCTTTGACTGCTAGAAACACATATCCTTGCAAAGTATATGAAAATCTATATGCCTTTCCTTTTCCACTCAAAGGGAGAATTGTATTCTTAGTTGTTAAGCAGCCACTAATTAAAAAAAAAGATCTATGCTGTGAATGAGAACATGCCCATGCTTAGGTAGTTCACAACCCCCAGAAATGATAGCTGTAAAGTTAGGATCATATTTTTGGGGCAGACATGGATTTGAAATTTTAGTTTCTTCTTCCTGGATGAATGCTTTAGCCAACAGTGCCCCTAATCATTGCTTTCTCTGTAGTGTGTTAAACTCTTGTTTCCTCCAAGAAACAAAACCAAACAGAACCACAGACAAAACATTGAAGAACACTCACCCACCCACACACCCAATGCTATGTCCAACACTTCTGAAAAATGTGAAATGTAAGTAATGTAAATATATGTAAGTGCATGCTCATGCTCCCAGACATCCTTCTAGGCTGAGCACTTCAGGGAATTAAGCCCTAGATCTCCATCAAGTTTCACACTTGGACACACACCATTCATCTCTGGTGTCATCTGGGACAGTTCCTGGAGCTCAGCTCTGGACAAAGGGAATCTAGAGACTTTCAGATCTATCTGAAGGAGAGTGAGGACCTCATTTTTGTTCAAGTTTCCCTGTAGATGACTCACCCTTTTTATGGGATATACCCTCTGAAACAATTCATATTCTTGTTTCTCTGGTGTTTCTAAAGGTGCTCTGTAGGTGGCAGTGCAGAATACATTTCTCTAGTACTTCAGTGTGTTTGGTTATTGCAGTCACTGTATGTCTGCAATTTTCCAGATGGCTCAGGAAGTCTTCCTTTACATTTGTTCATTATTAGTAGCAGGAATGTTAGCATTTTGTCATTGCAATCTTATACATTGTTGGTTGTCTAGTTCTTTCAATTGACTTTTTCCTATTCTTGCTCTTACATTACTTGTACCATTGCTCCTGTTCATTTGGAAACAAAGCAAACAAATTACTTGGAACTTCTGTGAATCCTCTTTTGTGCTTTTTTTTTTTTTTTTTTTTTTTTTTTTTTTTTTTTTTTTTTTTAATGTTTCACCTTCACAGAAAAATGTTTCCAGAACTCTGAATAAATGAAACAAACAAGACATCCTGTTCCATAAAAGGAACAAAGCAGCTTCATTACTGATAGGGAAATGCCTGTTTGTTTAAAGCTGATGTTCTGAAAGTAAGCAAAGACAGATGGGGCTTTAGGGGTGATGGAAAATCAGATTTCCTCTTTACTTTTGCAGGTGGCTTGGCATGACTTCCTAGCTCATTTGACTTAATGTTTTTTACATTCTTCTGTGGAAACTGATGTACATTTCAGGACACCATGACCATCTTGTACTGGAAAACAGGTATTCACATCTGTCATTCACTATGAAATCTTTTCAGCTAGAAGTGCATGCAATGTTTCAAACATTGGCACATTGTACAGTTCTGTTGTTTGGACATCTCAAATCTTGATTCCCAACATCATTAGCTTCTAGAGCAAGTTAGATTTACAAACTATGTCTGAAAGTCCCCTCCTATGCTGTCTTGAATAACCTTCTATTCCTTCCCACTCAGTGAAAGTTAACACTCCTCTGGTACCCACAGACCTAACCATGAAGTCTTTGTTCTTGTTACAACATTCCGAATGACTCTCTCATTTGTAGACTTGCCATTCTTTCATTGGAGATGAAAATTGGAACACAGAATTTAGATGACCAGTTACTCAGCACAAACAGGAGTACTGAATCTGGTTGTCAAAACTTACAGTTTAAGGCTGTGATACAGTTCTTTTAAAACAGCAAACTAGGAATGTTTTATGGTAAACCATTCTTTTACCTAGAATCCCAAAGGGCAATTGTGGTTGTCAGGTTAACATATAAGTCTCTTTGCAGGAAATGTAAAAGTTAGATGAGCTACCTAAAGATGATATGGTCCCAAAATTACTGGGTAAGAGGCACCTGTGCCTTGCAGATACCACGAGTGGAAAGTAGCCTGTGGCACCTGGAAGTGCAGTACGACAGCCTGGTATTTGTTCCATCACTCAGCTGTCCACAGCAGCTCTGTGGCTCCCAAGGCAACTTGATCAAAGACCCTCTCCTGACACGTATATACATCATTCATATTGCTGAACAGTGATTATTTCAAGTAGCAACTTCTTTATGGTACCTTTTGCTTGTTTTTGAAGACCTATTCTTATCATGGAGTTTATAAAAATGTCTTTATGTGCAAAGTTAATTGAAGGTCAATGACAAGAAATTGAGACAATCCAAAACTGCAACCAAAGGCAAGACAGAAAGATATTTCTTTGTACAGTTTCACTGATACTGTTCTAAGAGCTTTTACATGACTGTTTAGCTTCTTGGAATAGATAGGTCAGGCAAGTCAATCACACTGTAGATGCTATATTTACTTTTAAAGTATTCCTGTCACATGGCTATACATAGCTATTCTCATTCAGGGCAAGCAGCCTCAACAAATGCAATGCTCTATGAAAGTGCTAAAGTACTTTAATTAAACCTGTAATACAAAATTTACAAAAATACAAAAGAATGTTTTATCTGTACCTGGAGTCTTCATATCCATAGTAAGTGATTCTATTTTCTCTGTCTTTTAGAACAGAAAACACTTCCATTATGTGTTTTATCTGAAATTAAGATTTAAAACTTTTTATCTGTTTTCCTACAATAGCAACATAATTAAAAGTTAAGTGCTATATATTAGCCTATGTTTTGCTTCAAGGCAATATTTGTACTAAAATTCTATAATGTTTTTGCCAACCTAGAGTAATTTGAATAAACAAAATCCAGATTTGGTTAGACCATGAAATGATGAGGAAAACAGACAAACAAACAATATTACTCTGTTTATTAAATAATAATATTAAGGCATTTATTGGGAAACAAGCTTCCCACTGCTTCAAGCCTTTGGCATGCTGATTACTGGATTTTCTATATATGAAAACACTGATCTTTTAGATAAGAATAATTTGAAAAGTAATGAATGCATATTATGATTACTGTTACTCTCATATAGTCTTTTGTTTTCCACAGAGATGGGTATTCTTGCCATACTTGCTCTACCATTGCTTCTCTTAGGAGTCAGTGGAATTATCTATATTTACCAGTCAGTCAGGTGGCTGTTGTCCAAGTCAGCTGTGCAAAACAAGGTGGTGGTGATAACGGATGCCATCTCTGGACTGGGAAAAGGTGAGTTGTCTCATTTCTGCTCAGTGTCAGAGAACAAAAACAGCCAGAGAACCACCCTCTAGGTGATAAAATGTGCATACATTACCTTGTATATATTCATAACTTCCTGGATGAAACAGAAGTTACAAAATATATTTTTAAACAAATCCTATGATATTTAAATGTACATTTTTAGTCCCAGGAACTGTTGGAAAACTTTTAGGAACTGCAGAGCTTTGTATTTATTTAATTCAATAGAATAAGAGGTTCTGTAAACATATTGAGTGCTATTTTTAACATGGTGTTACTATGAGATCTTATTACATAGGCTGTCACTGCAGGGTAGCAGCAAATCAGTATAAACAGGTGTCACCTTACTCTTTACATGTTCCTTCTCAGCCCTTAAGAACTATGATACTTCCTGCTCCCTGTAAAAGTGCTCACTCCTCTGTTCATATCTCTGCCCCCGCTGTCTCCCATGTTACTCCTCTTCCCTTGACATCCTCCAGTACCTCCAAATGGCTTCCTAGAGATGTGTAATGGGGGTTCAGTGGATGGAAAAAAAGGGTATGTGATCATTTATTTGTTTATATAAGCTGATTGACTGAAGGGCCAGCCACTTAGCATATACCTCCTGCCTACACGGTGCTGCCAGATTAAAGGTACTGGGTCATATATTGCTTATGTACAGTCCTGCCCTAGTCGTCTCTTGAGGAGCAGTGGATGCCAGTGCCTTATAAGGCAAACAAAGCTTGAAGCTACAGTTTGGTGTTTTCAGTGAAGACTTGCTATATGTTGTAAACCTGGCACTCCCAAGCAGAAAATGGATGGGGAAAGAGGATGCTCTTGCAGAATTACTCCTTAGCAGAACAGACCAGAGACCTGCAACAGAAATGCACACAACACTGGCAAGGTGTGCTTTATCAGAGTCTCTTAGAGCAAGGTATGAAATAACCCCGACCTCCATATCCCACCTGGTCTTTCCCTTTCCCTGACACACTTCAGTTTCAGTTGAAGATAATATTAACATGCATTTTCTCTCATTGGTTATATTTCAGTATTTTTATTTCAAGAGGCATGATTTAGAGTTCTCCAGCTGAAAATGCATGTCTCATAGAATCACAGGGTGCCTGGAGGTTTCTAGACAAAAGTTCTGCTTGGAGCAAATGTATAGCCAGTGTTAGATCTGGCTGCATGTGGCTTCAAGCCAAATCCTGGAAACATGCAAAGATAAGGAACGTTTATTGAACATTTCTCCAGGTATCTTGCTCCAGCACTGCACAACCCCTGGGGAAGATTTTCTTATTAATTTTTTTGTTTTGTTTTGTGACTGCTACTTTGCTCGAGGCTACAAAGACAATTACCTCCCCCCACCCCCCCCACCCTCTTTTTCACATAGATGAAAACGAAAGTATCTCAAAGCAATTTTATTTTAATATTCTAAACATATCTACTGCCAGTATCCCAGAGGGTGATACCAAGAAGTTATTTGCAGTCTTGAACGATTCCAAATCATGCAGAATTTACTGTGCAGTCCACTCATGCATATGTGATGGTCATTTGTCCAGAGCTTTAAAATACCAGCTGTCTGGACAGCTGCTGCATATTTGAGCTCTTAGGCAATCATCAAATTCCTTTTACCACATGTCAGAATTTCTGGACTAAAAATTACATAAAAGTTAAAAAAGATAAACAAAACCTGTGATGATTGAAGCTGTTTACAATGGTTTATGGTTGTTATTTAAAACTAATTCCTGTTTCTTTTCAGTGCTAGAACTCAGAAAAGTCCAGAATATTTCTAGAGGAGAACATCAACAGCTTCCCTTTTTTCATTTTACTGCTTTTCACACAGTTGTCACACAGTATTCACAAGGGTGCCCCAACTGTTATGTTCATAGGAAAAATACTGGTGTAGTTGTCCTAATACTGACAAATAATCTTTTGGGCTTTAAATCAAAAATCTTTCTATGTTAGGAAAAAAAAGAAAATTAAAGACATTAATTAAATTACTATTGTAAATAGTGAAAAAGATTACACAAATAAAAGTCTCCAGCTGCACAAATTTACAAAAACAGAAGAGTGGATCCAGAAGTGCTTCCACACGTATATTAAGAATCTAACATATGCAATTAAGATACCTAGGACAAGTATATTAACATAACTGGATTTACCTGTGGGTATTGAAGTCTGAAGAAAATGCTTTTTGGAGGATGGACAGCTATAGCACTGGAGTTGTACTGTTGATCATTCAACAAAGACCATAGGAGCTAAGACAGATCAAACAGGCTGAAAGGCATAAGAGTAATTGTAAAACCATATTCCTGTTCTTCCCATGCTGAATATGTAACTGTCATACAGATTTGATTTAGGGACCAAATATGAGGGCTGCAAGGCTGAGAGTTTTTTTGGAAGACCTAGTCAGGGGAAGAAAACATGAATGGAAAAATAACTCCTGATTTCCAATCCTACCAGCACAGATAACCCACTGTCAACTAATTGTCTGGCTACACCCAAATGAGAGATCTGGTGGGCACATCATCAATCACATCCTCAGGCCTATCTGCAAGACATTATCTATTCCAAGAAAGAAAAGGCAGGAAATTGTGTACTTTTCCTGGACAGGAAGAAAACCTTGACAGATTTCTGGATTGATAGCCACTATTTCAGTTCAGCTGAGCTGGAACATACACCCTATAGCAGCCTATAACAGCCAAAAGGATACAACTGACACTGAATTCCTAAAAGATGCACATGAAATATCTGTTCTGTGTTTTTAAATACCTTTGTTTAGTCAAACTGACAGGACAGTGAGGAATATATTCTCCCTCAACACCACCTAGAGAAGAAAATAGGCCAGAAACACATGTCAAGATGCTCCAGCCTGCTATTTTGTTAATCTAGATTCAGTTGATCACATACTCCCATGAAGACCTGAACTAGTGAGTTGGCTTCAGTCTTCTAGGCAGTGCTGAGGTAGGATAATAGTTAATGCTGACTGCAGTTCCTTCTGGTATGTGAGTGCCCACTTTCAGAAAAGCATAATCATAGTTCACTTGCATAAGAAAAGGAGAAGAATCCTCCTCAGAGACCTAGTTTAAACTGGGGTGAATCCCTAACTCAGAATATCCCTAAATATACAGAGAAAAAACAGTGCCAGCCCAGCTTACCCAGAAATTTATCAATGACTTTTTCAGGAAGGTTTCAGGGAATGCAACTGAACAAGAAGTAGCTCAATCTGGTCCCTGATGCCTTTGCTGACTACTGGGAAGGTGTAATACTCAGGAGATAAAGGTCTTGGGATGGATTACATATGGAGGAAAGGGTCTGTAGAAGAAAGGCCTCTCTCATTGGTGCTTCATCTGTGGGCCTGTGGGTGGTAAGGTTCTCTATATTAATCTTTCTCAAAGTTGTAGATGAGTTTCACGTTGCCAAGAGTTTCATGAAGGTAGCATACAGAGCTAGTTCTATTATTTACTGGGGTTGATTTGTTTCTTCTTTATAATTGCAGTAGACATGAAGGGGTGCAAAAGATGCAGTTTGTATTGTAACAAGCTTAAGCATTTATTTTTGTATATTATTTAGAGCAAGTGTGTATGTAGGTGGAAAGAGTTAAGGAAGAAAGAAAATCAAAACAATTTTCTAAGAAGTCAAACCCATTATCAGTTAACTGTCATACTGTTATTTTCTTAATCAAATTTTTATTAAATCCCATGACTAAACAGTACTGTTATGCTGTACCATTGATTGTGAATTATATGCTTACATTTAATTTTAATTTATTGCTCAGATATATATTGACATTTAATGTTTTCTTTTTATATTTTATATATATTTAATATATATGAATATATATTTAATATTTTTATATATTTATTCTTTCAAAATTAATGGATTTTAAAGCATAGATTAAACATCATTAGCAAAAACATCATCTCAGTTCAAGAAAAATAAACAAAACCAAATTTTTATTATTGTTACTATTTCTTTAGAATATCTTTCTCTCCTAGAATGTTCTCGGGTGTTTCACACAGGAGGAGCAAGGCTTGTGTTGTGTGGCAGGACATGGGAAAAGTTAGAAGCCTTGTATGATGCTTTAATTAGCGTGGCAGACCCCAGTATGGTAAGTATTTTCCCATTCTGCTTTGAAAATTCACAACTTGAGGTAAACACCTTGTTCTGGTACACAAGGGCTTTTAAATCCAGTAAAACCAGGTACATGAGACGTGATTCACTGTTAATGGTGATTTTGATCACCCAGATAACACACCCACCACAGTCCAGAGAGAGAGAGAAAAAAAAAAAACCTCCTCTGAAGGTCTTCAAAGCATTATGTCAAAAGTCAGAAATCCTTCTCTCTTGAGCTAATTCAAGGTAATTACTGTAGAACAACTGAGTCATCCTGCATTTTGAACAAGCCACCCCACTAGAAATGCTAGGCAGAGGAATTTGCCTGTAAATTTGGATGGAAGGGATCCAAAGTGCTTCATTTAATCACAGGAACTACCATTCATTTTTCACATAAGAGTGCTCAAGGAATGGCAGATGGGTCTAAAGACTGAATTAATTTTTAGTTTCTCCACAACTTTGAAGCATATGAATAAGAGTGTCATTTCCTCATTACCACTGACTGGGTCACTATGGATGTAGACATGTAATGCTGACCCTGCTGCCAGTTCTTTGGAAGGTGTTTCTTTGATGCTTGTGGGAAAGCTTTCCTCTGTGACCAACAGATAGCTGATTCATTTCAGGGCACAGGTGTTTCTGAAGGCATCACACAAATTCTACAGCCACTGTTCACCAGACCAACAAATATTTCCTTTTTTTTTTTTTTTTTTTTTTTTTTTTTTTCAGTGAGTTTCATTCATCTACATACATAAACCATAAAAGTAGTGTGTTCACGTTAGTGTGTGCAGACTCGGCTATGAAAAATACACTGAGGGACCAGCACTACATTGACATATTAATATAGTAAGAGAAGATACTCAGAGCTCATTCCTCTGCTTCATAGCAGATCTACATCTTTGCAGAAATCATACAGTTTGGATATTTCAGCTGTTTGGATAACCTATGGCTGGACAAACCATTCCTGCCTTCCAACTGCCCCCCAAGTATATATAAATTATCTATCAAAGCACTGTATCCTAGACTCTGTGGTCAACAAAGTTCCCCAGGGGCCTGCTTACAGAAAGACCATAACTTGGAAGTGGTAGGAGTCGTCCCCTGTGCCTAATGTCGGTCTCCACTGATTACAAGAGAGACAGAACTCGATAACGTAGATCTAGTCCAGCCTATCCTAGCCATGGTTTTCTCTTTGTCTGAATTTCAGAGTCTATGAATACCCATTGCTGAACTACCTTCTTTCTAGAGTGGGTTAAAAGAACAGATTAAAGTTTTTGGGAAAATGACAAAAAAATTTTCTTCAGCTATCAAGGTAAATTAATTTTCAAGACAAGTACATAGAAATACATTTTTATTTAACAGGTATCCTTGAAATGTCTTTTCTTTATTAGACATATGCACCAAAGCTCATACTTCTGGATATCTCAGACATAAACTGCATTCAAGATGTAGCTAAGGAAATTCTGAATTGCTATGGCTGTGTGGATATACTGATTAACAATGCAAGTATGAAGGTGAAAGGAGCAGTGCAGAGCATTTCATTGGAACTTGATAAAAAGATAATGGATGCCAACTATTTTGGACCTATAACATTAACAAAAGGTATTTTTTTTTGTCCCTGTTTTGCTGTTGCCACTTAAAGCTTTAGATCCAATTCACTGGCATTACACTGTTTCACTTGCACTTGTATTTGCCTTTTTCACTATAATCAAGAGCAACTCTGTGAAAATCAATGGATAGAAATTAAGGTTAAGATCAAAATCAGAGTGCCTGTGTTTGGAAATAGATTGGTCAAGAAATATATAAGCAGGTGTTTGAAAGATAGACTTCTTAAAAATGTCTGCTTATTTTATTTTTCATGTGGTGACTCCTTTATTTACGTGCTTGCTGCCTTTGGTACAATTGTTTTCAAAACCCTTGCAAGGATACAGACAGTCTGACAATTAAATGTGATAATACTGCACTCAAATCTGCATGTAGAATCCAAGTGAAGTCTTTATGACTGTCAATTTCCAACTATTGGATTTTGTGATACTTTTGATTGTAGGATTGAGACAACCTTCATTAAAGTTGTGCTATCTACACCTGTCACTTCTTTTCACTAAATACATTGAGCTCTTTTACCTATGTGGCTCTTTCTTTTATTTCTTTTTTTTCCAGCCATTCTTCCCAACATGATTTCAAGAAGAACTGGCCAAATTGTTCTAATTAACAGTATCCAAGGGAAAATAGGAATCCCATTTCGTGCAGCTTGTAAGTTATATATAGCAAAAATGTGCGTTTGAATGCAAATAGATTGTATTACATGGCACTAATCAGTTATTAAAAGTGTTAATTTGCATCCTATTCCAGTAAACTACTAATACACTATTTGGCTGAAAAGTTTTCAAAGTAGAACTCAAGGATAGTTTAAAATGCTGTCTTTGGAGTATAACTACCTCCTAAGGTACTTGAGGACAAGAGGATATCATATGTGACAGCAAGGGGTTTTTTATGATCTTAGGAGACATTCAAGAACCAGCAGACTTGTAGGCCTAACATTTGTACTGGGCATATTGGTAGAAACCAAAATGAATACTGAAGCAGTGTATAAATATTACATACTTGTAGATACTAGCTACTGTTTTGTAAAGGGAGACTCATGGATTTCTGTGTGGGAGTTTAATATGAGATGTAGTAATTGTATGCTGCTTGACTTTCCACAAAATTTTCAAGAAGGTCTTTCATCCAAATCTCCTAATGAAACTAGGCTGTCCTGAGTTATGGTGAAAGGTCTATGCATTAATAAAGTTCAAAGTTAGTGGACAGAAAATATAGGACAGATGTATAGGATTTAACTGTGACAGGAGGTCAGAGTGGATGATGGCCTCTGAATTAAAAGGTCTGTGAGACCTCAGGATTGCGACTTATAGTTCCATGAAAGGAAAATTTAATGGGAAAAGTGACAGAAACTGTAAGGAAAACAATAGAGAGGAAAAAAAATATTGTATTTATGCCTTTGTATAAATGTGTGCAGTGCCCACATCTTGAACACTGTGTGCAATTCTGGTCACTCCATCTGAAAAGAAGTGTAAGAGCTACAGAAAAGTCTCAGAAAAGAAACAACACATTGATGGGACATCTGGAATGGTTTTCATCTAGGAAACAGCCAATTGTGTCAAGATACATTGTATGTGTATAGAATCATGAGTAGCAGAAGATCTAACAGAGATAGATAGTTTCTACAATGCCTCTATTTATGTTGCATGAAATGAAGCTGCCAGAAGAAGGAATGTCAAAACAAATGAATGGAGAGGCTTCTTCCCATTCCTGGAGCCCACCTGCCATTTTTTAGCTTATATTATGCACAGGTTGATTTTCACTGCAAACTGAATCAAATACAAGGTGGATGAGTGCTTTGTGCAGCTCTGCTGTGCTTAACACTTAGTTCTGCTTTTGGTCAAGGTTCACAAACTATCATCCTTCTTTAATATCATTCTCAATAAAAAGACACTAAGAGCAGTTAAAAAAATTCTTTAACATTCAGTTACTTTAAAATTAACTTTAATATTAAAGGCATCTTGGATTACTGTTGCAGGGCAAAAGCTTAATTAGTTTACAAAATTTTAGTACTCCTGCATTCCAGAAATGGACATCTATTTCATTGCATTTTATTGATGTGTCACAAACTGCAGCAACAGATGGTGTGGAAACTCATCTCAGGGACAGCTGTTCATCCACCAAAGACACTTTTAAACTGTGGAAGTAATACAAGTAATATTCCTTAACCCAGGACTTAATATTTCCAATTGGGAAATCCAGACACAGGCTCTTTGACATGTCTAGGGAGACTGACTGCATACCACATGCATAATTGTCCCGTACAAACAATTTTCTCTTGTTTGTTTTAAATACATGATATGAGATTTTCACTGGGTGAAATAATTCACTGTTCTTTTGCTTTTTGGTTAATCATTCCATACTCAATTTTCCAAACATCTGTGTTTTATGGAGCTCTATCATACATCTATATCCATACATTCATATATCCAAGCATACATATGTGGGTTATTTTAATTTTCTTTTAGATGCTGCTTCTAAGCATGCTGCTCTAGGCTTTTTTGATTGCCTTAGAGCTGAAATGGAAGAATTTGGTATTTCTGTCAACACTGTGAATCCGACCTTCATCTGTTCATACCATCGCCAACCAGCACCTGGCAACTGGGAGGCATCTATTTGGAAATGTAAGGTTTGATGCACCAAGAGAGATGGTAGATGAGGCCCATATAGCAGTATGGAGGCTTTTCCTTGGGGGAAGAAAAGAGCATAAGAAAAATAATGGAAATGACAGAAAGGATGGACAGGTTAGGGGAGCAAAAGAAAAGGAAGACTGGAGAGATCAGATGATCCTGGTGAAAAGAGAAGGAACATGAAAAGAGACAAAGTTATGTGAGAAAATAAATACACCAGGGCATGGGGGAATGGAGGTGGAGCAGAGTATGAAAGGTCTCAAGGGAGAGTTCCACTGCACTCAAATTGCTCCTTCTCTTACAGACTGTGAGGATTTTATTTCAAAATTGGAAAAAATATCTTAGGGACATAATGATGAGAGGAAGGGAAGGGGTAATGGATTAAAAGAGTGTAGGGTTTTAATTAACTCAACTGATGCACTAGCTGTTTATCTTTTCACCACCACTCCCTCAAATGTGTGTATCTGTCTGTATCTCTTATTCTCCTCTGTTTTATTTGCAGTCTTCTTCAGAAAGGTGGCATATGGTGTGCATCCAGTGGAGGTGGCAGAGGAAGTCTTGTGCACAGTGAGCAGTAAGAAGCAGGAGGTGCTTATGGCCAACCCTATCCCCAGAGCAGCCATTTACATTCGCACCTTCTTCCCTGAGCTGTTTTTTGCCATTGTTGCCTCCGGAATTAGGGAAAAGGTGAAGACAGAAGAGGAAAATTGATTTTGTTCAGTTCTTTTCCCTACTTTTGACCTGAAAAGAAAGATTATGTTTCAAATGTCAATTACTTCTGCTTCTCACTATGGGTAGAATAAAGCAGGAGACTTTATTAAACATGAACCAGCCGATGTCTCAGTGATTCACTGCCATTGACACACATTCATCTGTGGGATTTCTAGTCTTGTAGATTTAGTGAATATGACAAGATATCATTGTCTGCACTTCAGCAGTAAGGGGAAAACTCTACTAGGAACTCTATGACTGCTTTAAGAGAGTGATTCTAAATAAGTAGAAAAAAGATTGGGGACCTGCAGCAACTTATAGAATAGTCTGTCAGTGCTAAGACTGATGGGAACTTATGGGAACAAAGGGATGGGAAAGGAGTGAGATGTGGGAGACAGAAGAGTAAAAATGTGTGGAAAGTGGGGTTAGAGCCTGGATCATAGTGTTCCTCAGATGTGCTTTTTGGAAGTACGTACAGGACATGGAAACGATGAGCCCAAATAAGGACTTATTAAGTTCAATATCTCATCCATGACAGGAGCCTGGAGTACATGCTTGAAAGACAGATAATAAGAATGGGGCAATAATATGTATTATACTCTCCCAGGTTCTGCTAATCTGTTACACAGTTTGAAACAGAATTTGTCTCTGCATCTTGTTAAGCTATCAATTTTTCAGACAAATTTTTCAAATTCCTATTTGAAAGATTCCATCCCTGAGGAAAGGAACTAATTATATATTAAAAAAATACTTCCTTATGTTTACTTTGAACCTGGTGTCAAATAACATTCTCTGATATCTCCTACTTATTTTACTGTGAGAGACAAAAAGTAATGGTACTCAATTCATTCACTCCCAGTCATGCATGTCCATCATACTTTCCATGCTGTTACCTGTTTTCCAAGTTGGAAGAACCCTGTTATCTATTTACTCTCCCTTTGTGAGAAGCCTGGATTATTCTTCATGTTCTTTTTTATATATTTTCTTTGTTTATATATATATATATATATATATATATATATTAAGGTGGGCAGGCTACAGATACATGCAGCAATCAAGAAAGATAAAGAATCTGGTTTCACAGGCATACAGATGCTTCCTGAGTTTTTTACTTCTTTGCTTCTTTTACATCTCTTATACAAATTCTTGGTTTTGAGATATTTTTCTGCCACTGAGCATTGGGTTCCCTTGTCCACTCTGCTACATGTGGTAATTAATCAACATGTCCTTCATGAACGTGGCCATTATTCATGTCAATTATCTAAATTCCATATAGTCTCAAAGTTTTCTCACTCCTCATCATTCTAGGCTTCTCTTCCCTGTCACATTTCCCAATTCATGCTGAGGACTTACCCCCTTATTATCACATCCTGTTAGCTGAACCAGAATAGAAACAAAGCTAATGCAATGTTGTCCAGATCTTCAGTTTCATATCTAAGCTTAAATTCTGTCTGCCAAACCCTCCCCTGGTCTTTCTTGTGTCATCAGTACTCACAGAGATCATGATCACCTACTTTTTTGCAGACACTGTCAAAATGCCTTGCTTGCAGAATACTTACAAAGGAAATACCTACTCAGAAAAAGTGCAACCAAACCACTTGCTGCTACAACAAGTCCTGTTGTTCATACAACTTTCAACAGCAGCTGCACTTATCACTTTTTATCAGTAAGGATCACCAAACATGAATGGAATCCTCAGTGAAATGAGATGGTTACCATCTTTCTGGGATATTAACCTTTTCTTGTATGTCCAGTTCAGTTTCTCTGGCTTCAGGAAACACGCAGGCATCTACCTCACCCAGGTAAATAATTCACAACTAGTGAGAAATAGCCAGTTCCTGCAGTACCTGATGGAGTTCCATCTATTTTCTGTTGTAGCACTGTGCTTTTAGTGTTGTTTGAATTACTATGCCATAACTGTGAAGTTAAACATTTACTTTGTCCAAAATTTTCTTGCTCCTCACCAGAACTCTACTCCCTCAAACAAATGGGATTTTACTCTGGTCTCAGTTATACTTGTGTCTGTATCTCAGCAACAGCCAAGCCCTTCCCAACTCCACAAAAACAAACTATGGAATAACTGGGTAATTTCATCAGAAAAGGATCAGAGAATCATAGGATATCACAGCTAAACATGGATCAGAATTATTTTGATTTGTTGTAAAAACAAGTCGATTGCATGTTAAAATAAGCTGAATAATGTTTCTGCTGCGTTTTGCACTTTCTAGATATCAGCACAAATTCTTCAGTGGTTTTGAATATTTCACTTCAAAAATGTGGAACAGTTCCAGAAACCACAATGAAAAGCAGTCAGAGTGACAAAGGTAAAATAACACTTGTGATGTATCAAGAAATTTTAAAAGAACAAATATATTTTAATCTAGAAAGTAGAAGAAAATTCTATCTAAACAGTTTTCAAATACCTAAAATGTACTGCCAGGAGGATCAAACTGAAGCATTCTCAATTTATGCTGTAGTAAGACAACGTGCTACAATTACTGCAAAGGAGATTTACAGGGAAAGAATTTTCTGCTAAGAATATTTAAGCATGAAAGATAAATTGCCATAGAAATTCTAGAATGCCTGTCTTTGGAAGCTTTAAAAAAAAAAAAAAAAAAAAAAAAAAAAAAAAAAAACCACCAACCTATGTAGCTTTAGTTTATCCTGCCTAGAGGAAAAGGAGGATTAGGTGACCTTGTAAATGTGTCACACTTTTCTACAGTTCTGTGGTTTACTGAACAAGGTTTCTCTACTGGTATTTCTGAAGTAATTCTTTTTCCTCAGGGGAAATCTATTGTTTAATCTGAACTTTTCTATTTCATTTACCCATCTCTGCCTCACTGTCTAAATACCTGTGGATATATGTTGCGCATAAAAAAAATATTATAATGACAAAAAGAAATAGTATGACATGAGTTCATTAAGAGATATTTTCTGTGAACTTCACTCAGCCATATTTTAATCTATGTACACTACTTATTAATACTAACTTTTATAAATGAGGACAAAACTAGGCGTGCGGATTGAGTTGTGGAAGTCATAGGAGACAGCTATTCAACTGCAGCTTCTTTGATTTTTTTAAGCTTCCCACATGCCTAAAGGGCACATAAGGTTCTGATATGAGCTGCAGTTGCACTGTTTTAAATCTATGAAGTTTTTTGTGGAGATCAACTGCTTCTTGGTGAAAATTGGCATTGCTGGACATAAGGGCCCTTGAAGTAAGGAAGAATTTTAAAGAATGTTAAGACTGGAAAGTCTTAACAGTGAGGAGATTCTTGTCTGATTTTAGACATCTGTCCTAGATATAGCCTACCCAGAATTAACCTCCCAGATCCCCTTCTTAAGCAGTGAAAGAAACAGGTGCCTGTAACCCGTGATTTATCTGACATTATTTACAGATAAATTTACAGATTTATCTGACTAATAGAAGTGCCTATTTCTTTTGTTAACTTTCACTGGACTCTAAGTAACCAGCACAACTGTAGATCTGTGTATCTGCCACAGGCATCTGAAGTTTACTGAGGTGCCATGTTCATCAAGATTGGTTGGGTCAAATGAACTGAAATAAAAATGCCACAGTATTTGATAAGTTGTAGTTTGGTTGTTGAGGGCTTTTTGCCTGCTTTCAAATAATGTGGTTTCAGGAATTACCCCAGAATTATTGACGCCTACAATCTGTGAGTCAAAAGTTAAAATAAGGGCCAGAATGTGAAAACATGTGTTGCAAACAAGGATAAGAAGTCTTGCATTTCACTGAGTGATTTTGTTTACCAGACATCCACAGAAGACCTTCTCGAATGTGAGAAAAACAGGTCATCTGAGATTTAAGAACTGATCAGGATGGGGGTCCTATTGCACAATTATTTAAAAGCTCTTGTCCACATACAGTATTTTATATGAGCACAAACCACTGTGAGAAACAATCCTGAAGAAAGAGCATATGGTAGAGACTACCACTCTGTGTTTATAAACTGCACAAAAAAAAAAAAAAAAAAAAAAAAAAAAAAAAAGCAGTTAAATTAGATCATTTAAAGATCTTTCAAAGGTTTTGTAGGCACCAAGCAAATACGCTCCTGGATAAGGTGGAAATTCATCAGTGACACCCAGGAACAACATGAGATAGGTAAAAATCTAATGTAAAAAGACCACAGTTATTATAAAAGAAGAAAAGAAGAAAGTCAGATGAAATAATGAATAATTCCTCTATCAGTGAAGATGTTAGAAACAGAAACAATATGTGAAACAGAAACAGTATGTGAAACAAACGGAAGGAATAAAAAAAAAATCTTGTGTTCTGTTCAAGGGATTGAGACTACTTCTACTAGAGTGGATACCAAACTCACTCTCAACTGCTTTTTTTCATCTGCAGAGTGGAAGGTAACAGCTTCAGAACACTCGGCATGCTGCAATGAACAAAATACTTTTCTAATAATGAAAAGGGAAATCTTACTGCTTTCTACCGCTACCTAGCGGGATGATACAGATAAGATGGAGCCAGACTTCTCAGATGTACATAATGGAAGAAAAAAAGATAATGGACACAAATTGGAACACATGAAATTCTGATTAAATATCAGGAACTATTTTTTCCAGAATTACAGTAGTTAAGCACTGGGACAAGTTGCCAGTGAAGTCAGAAAATCTCACTTCTTTAATATACTCAAAACTGAACTGTTCAAGGCTCTAAACAACATCTAATTGGTCTGGCTTTGAGAGAGGAGGTTAGGCCAGCAACTTCCAAAGGTACTTTTTAACTTAAATTGTTCTATAATTCTGTGTGAGTCTATAGGTATAGTTGAGTTGTGCTGTTGGTCTCCAACCAAGAAAATTTTGATATTATCCCAGACAGAAAATGTGATTCTGTCAGTTTTTCTACTGGATGGGAAAATTTGGATGAAAACCAAATGCTGAAAATGCTGAAAATTAAAGTGCAGAAAAGTTAGGTAGAGTAAAACAAGCAAACCCTGGTGAAGGGACCAGGAGATGACGTTGGGTATAAATACCTGACTGACTTCCTTTAGTGAGTCCCACAGTGCTCCATAAAATAAGGTCTTGGCTGGCAGGACACAGTCTACCCCAGTCACAGATGCCATTTTTCATTTGTTTATTTGTTTTTAAGGAGTTCATGAATGCTTAGAAGTTGGTAATAGACTATACAGCCTCTTCTGGACAGCCTGTTTCTCTGCTTGACAGTCTTCATCACAGGGAAGTATCTTCTTATATGCAGTCCAAGCCTCTCTTATCTGAAACTATGCCCAGTGTTTCTCATTCTCCTACAATGGAATCATAGTCTGAAGGTTGGACAGGCTTCAGCAGTCTCCCTGAAACACCTCAGATCTAAGCCCCCAACAAACAGCAAACATCCCTGCATAGCAAGTCAGGAAACCAGATAGTGGCTTCCAACCCCCAAAGGGCGCAGCATCCCTCTAGTGTCACTTGCCATGCTCCACTGCTTCTGCTGCATGTTTCAGGCTTAGCTGGTTCTAATTGCTCCCAAGACAGAGCTTTCAGCCTCTTGCCTGTGGTCACAGAACAAAATCTATCTTCAGTTGCAGATAGAGAAAGAGTCATCTTCTTATCAGAAGCCACTATATCCAGCATTCCTGCTCCTGGGAATCTCCAGTGAGCACAGCCTCCGGATGGTCTTCTTTCTGTCCATTACAGGAGCTCAGGCTTCTCACCTTTGCAGTGTCTCTGTGAAGATCCTGTCAGTCTTTTTTTCATCATCCCTTGTGCTATGCAGCCTTCTCACCACCTCCCACAGCTCCTTAACTTCAATAGAGCTTCACAGTCAGAGCACACCTTCTACAGACATGGGTGCTGCCTTCACCTGCTCCAGCTCCAGCAAGGGGACCCAGACCCAGACAGAGGCTTTCATCTTTCCTCAGGAGCCCAGTCTGGGTCAAGACCTCTGATGTTCCTGGAACAATTGTTCAGGTTGGTGCTGGGGGCAACGCCTGCTGACATGTCACCACCAGTGCTGAACACCCACACACTGCCTTCAGCAGAGTTTCTTCTGCTTTGAAGAGTGATGCTCTGGGCCTTAGGCTTGCAGTCAAGCAGTTATATAGCTCTCTCCCTAGGAGTAGCTGCATGAGTGCCTGAAAGTCCCTGATTGGGAGTCAGCTTTTCCCACCTGCAACCTGGATCTGACTAGCTTTGAACTTGTTCCAAGAAGAACTAGAAGCAGAGCCCAGAACTCTTGTGCAAACTGCAAGCACCAGCAGCCAGCAATAGTCCAAGCAGTGTCTGAGGCCTCTGCCTGCATCCTGCCCACAGACTGCCTGTCCTGAGGTCACAGCACTCCCAAAGGCCAGTTACATGGCAGATGGAGGCTGGGCCCAGGTGCCTGCCACCTACCCCTTGGTGGACTTCCTATCACCAACCACCTCCCTTCTGAGGAGACTGGCTTATGTCATCTCACTTTATTGTCTCTCAATGTTCCACTCTTGCCACTAACGGGACATTAGTTCCTTCTGAGCTAATTGGGTTTTGTTGTGATAATCTATTATCAACTCCATCATCACTGGCCATAAACTGATATACTAGGGGTTCTGCTGGCATAACAAGTTCAAACTATGTTTATGTTAGGATCATTTTGCCTGAAAAAAAAAAAAAAGTATAGTGATTTTTCTAAAACCCAGAGTTGCTCAGTAAGGCCTCTGCTACCCACCATTCACAAGTGCGTTTCCTAAAGGGTTCATTCGTGGGAGGATTCATACAACAATGAAGAAAAACTGGTATCCAAGAGACTAGGTACACGTGGCCTAGTTCCATGGGGAAACTCCACACCCATCTTGAGAGTGGAGCAGCTGCAAATTCCTGATCTATGACAAACGTAATAATTTCTACTTTCCCATCTTTAATGTGACTGTGGATTATTCTTCATGTATAATAATCACAAATCAAATTTTGATTCTTTCTGTCACTGTTGCCAGAATGATACCTAGAGAATTTCACAGGTGAGCTGTGTGCTGGCTACAACCATGTGTCTTCCAGCTTTCTGTTTGCTTTCCTAACCATATTAAATGACTAATATTTACACTGAAAGCCTCTTCACTCTATTAGCCTTTCTTTCACAACAAATCCTACCTCTATGCATATGATGAAACTCTTGAATCTTAAGCTGTAATACACAGATTTTCGTGGAGAGATTGTACCTTTAATAACAAATAAATTATTCAAACCATGCACCACATGTGAATTGCATTATTGCTGCCTTACTCTTTGTGGATTTGGGTGTTGGGATGGGATTTTTTACAGTCTTTTCAATAAAGGAAATCCATAATGCTCTGAAATTCTAACAAACTCACATACTTATATTAATGCTAGAGACTGCATAAGAATCAGAGCAGTGGAGAACCTGTGTCACCGTCATTTCCTGAACTGGGACACCAGAAACTACTTTTAAATACGAAGACTTCCTTGAAACATTCATGGAAATATAATTTATTTGTTAAGAAAAATAAATAGTGCTATATAAATACACATTTTCATTAGCTAATACTGTTTCATTCTGATCTAGCATTACGATTTACAGGATGCCTTGAGATATGCTTCAGATTTACAGAACTGAAACAGTGGTCAGTTGATGCAAGCCTTTTATTGGGTGTGCATGGTCTTCTGTACTGTTGTGAAAAGAGTTCACATACACATTCCAAGCTTTCTCTGGACCTGTATGATCAGAAAACTTGTATTTAATCTTTAAACTCCTTGCCAGCGTTTTTCTTTTGTGCTTGAATTCCAAAATAGTTTTTGTATATTTATTAATAGTGGTGACAGCTGCAGCCATACAGCAAGCAAAGGAAGCCCATGCGAGGCTATAAACAAAAAGGTTTAACAGAAATTAGCACATTTCCATACATCCTTCAATTTTATTTTTGAAAACACTGCATGCACATGATTATATCAGTGTGTGTCAGGGAGAGAAGCATAGTTGGGAAGAAAGAAAGATTCTTGGTTAATAACCATTTACATACCTGACTAATGTAGTTGACCTCTACATATTGGTTATTCACATTTAATATTCCTGTTTATTGAAACCCTACCTCAGAATTTCCATTTACTCCACTTAAAGCTTAATATCAGAAAGAGGAACTATTAAAAAAAAAAAAAAGAGGATGTGTAAAAATTTTAAAGGTGCAGTTACTGAGGCTACAAATCTCACAAGTGACAATGAGAAAAATGCGTGCCAGGTATCCAAAAGGGTTAAAAGAAAACAGAAGGCACAATTGAATAGCTGTCTAAAAAAGTCACTGAAACACATTCCTGAGAAAATACAAGTCCTGACTAAACAGAAAGAAAAGAACATGAACTCTGAAATGTTAAAAGTAAAATTATAAGAAGACAGAACTAAAAAATTACATTGAGGTACAATTTGCTAAAAATGTGTGAAACTTCCAGACTACTGAAATGGCAATGGATGCTGAAGGTATAAAAGTAATAGGTAAACACATGGCCACAGCAGAAGGAATTGGAGTTCATAGTGGAGAAACTTACTTATGAGAGCCGTTCTTAGCATGACAAGGTCATGATTATCTAACAAAACCATGTGGTTTCATGGAGAAATCAATTTAAGAAACACCTGCTTATCTCTCCTTTCCCTTAGAGATGTTTGTTCCCACATCCTTGCTGTAGTTCAAGAAATTTTTTTTTTTTTTTTTTTTTTTTTTTTAGCATTATTTGTAGCCAGGATTGGTTTCCACAGTGATCAGACAACCAGATGTGTTGACAGAGTTTGATGATGGTGGAGTCTGACACATAGATGTGAATGACTCCTAGAAGTGGGGAGAAGGGGAGCAGTTTAAACTATCTTTGCTCCTGAAGTCAGTCAGGCTACACCCTGACTAACTCTCAGATGCAGAGAGCTTTTATAACAGAGATAGCAAGAATAGGGGAAGATCACCAGAAGCAGGTAGATTTACTCTCGCACTCAAATGGAGCAAGAATAGGAAAGCAGACCTACCTGTGGTAGTGTGTAACCTGTGGATTAAACCAACTGAATAACTGAAACAGTAGGATTAGTAGACAAAGTGATAGAACTGATATTATGAAGGACATCTTTTGTTGAAGGTGCTTTTCCTAATCCATCTGTTGAAGCCCTTTGAAGGACTCAGTCACATGAGGGTAAGAAACCAATTTCAAGAAATCTTCTATAAAGGCCTCTTAGCAAAGACTGAAAGAAATTAATCTCTTATGATCAGATTCTCTTGAAGGTCAATACTGTGTTAAAAGAGAAATATCAAAAGACAGAAATAAATGGTTTCCTTTGACAATGAGAGAAGTATATCACTGTAATTCTTCAAAGTTTTTGCCAGAAATGTTTGGAAAAAATACAAAGCCTCCCATCTGACAAGAGAGAACTGAGGAAGGAAGTGAATGAAGTCTTGCCAATGAGAGAGTCAGAGAGTAAAGGGCAGTTTGGCTGCAGTGGAAATTCAGCTTCAAGAAGGCGAGTATTCAATTTCAATTCTGCCCAAAGAATAACAAAAGGCTCAACAAAGAAACAAACTAAAGCAACCAGTCATTCATCTGCATAAGAGAAATGCTGATAGAAGCTCAGATGGATTATGAGTTTTTCTTTTACTACATGGAGTATCCTGTATGAGGTGTGTATGGGAATTTAGTACAGGGCAGGGCTTTAGAGAGAAAATGTTATCTCTTGATGTGAGGATGCCTCAATCTGATAAACACAAGGAGAGTGAGAGATCACCAATAATAGAAACATCTTCCAAACTCTAGGAAAGCTGCTGAAGAAAAGAGAGATATGGATAGATTTATTAAAGGGATGTGAGTCTACTTATCATTAGTAATTCCAACACTGTAAAGGAAAAAGAAAGGTCTTCATGCTTCCTAGGCCAGGTGGAAAAAAACTGGCCACAGCAGCTGGATGCAAGGACAGAGAAGGAACTGTGACAGCTGCTCTGTGAGGTCTTGTGATTGGGGTGAAAAGCTGCTGCCATGGACCAAATTCTTTGTGTTTTTTTGGTTACTGAGGAGATCATTTTAAGTCCCAATGTAAAAGTGGCAAAGTCTTTGCCTGTACTTCTTCCTGCCCATGCCCCTGTCATGGTCTTGGTGACATTGTTGGCCACAAGTGGGTGCTGAGGCAATTAGAAAGGGAGTCTCAGCTATAATCATTGATGCCCCTTTTTTTGGCATCTGTTCTCTTTCTTCTTGTAAAAGACAAATAGCTTCAACATCCTTCCTGTCTCACCATCAGACAAGATTCTCATATACAGTCAATGGGAGAGCAGCCAAGGGAGACTGAAAATAAGGGTTCATACAACAGAAAAGGAGATGCAGATGTAGGTATCAGAAGAGGTAAGAGGAAAGAAACTGAGAGGCATCTGGGAGGAGACAATGAGGTACCTGTATGTATGCTTTGATTTATTTTTAGATTACTATCAAAAAGCATGATGCAGCTGCCTTTAGGCTAAAAAAAAAAATAGGAAAGAAGAAAGTGATTCTTGACAGAAAAATGAATTGATTAGAAAACAGGCACCACACAGACCATCTCCTCGATGTCTTCCTGTATGCAGGTACCAATGGCTTGGAAAGTCTTGTGTTGGTAGAAGTGTTTCCTTGGACATTCAACAGCCCAGGCTGCTCTGAATCATTAGAAGGCAGCCATGAAATCCTCAGTTCCTGAGTAGGTGCCACATGATTAAAGTCCAGGAGCTCAGAAGGCAGCTGGCTGTAGTACATGAACACAATGATGTTGACAATAGTGGCATCAGTGGAGTTGTGTCAGAAACAGCAATAGTGGCAGTGATTTGAGTGGTTTTCTTCTCCTCCCAGTGGGATGGAAAGGAGGGAACAGGCTTCTCAGTACCAGTCTGCAATTTTTTGTTTCCACTCCCATGGGAAGGGGGAAGTAATGAAGGAACACTCCTCTTTCCACTGACCACTGTTCAGTGGAAAACATGAATGAATGGAAGTGAGAGTCAAAGAAAAAAAAAAGTATCTAAGTTTGAAAGGAGAGAAGAAAACGGTGTTTGAGGATCTTACACAGTTCCTATGTTACCCATTGAGGTATCCAAGTAGCCCCTGGACTTTATCCAGGATGTTGTCTGGATATTTGGTATTGGACTTTCTCAGACCAGTTCTTCCTGACAGAAGGGGGATCACTCTTTCCAATTCCAGCAAGTGAGTGACATATGGATGATGGGCTACCTCATCTGCTGGACAAACAGGATGAGATACACCATTTGTCATGATCTGGTTAATCTCCATCTTGGGAGCACTGACCAGGCCCATTCTTCAGTGATTTGAGAGCACTAGAGAAACAACTCCATTTATAAACATATAACAGCAGCTTCAAACAAACCACTACGACTTGGGAAGCAGACTCCTGGAAAGATTCAAAACAATATACAGTGACCTCTGAATGGGATTTGAATTCTTAGGAAGGTGAAAAGTAACAGAACAAAAGACAGAAGAAACCCCTTATTTCACTGCAAAAATCCCTAGGAAGCCTGCATCATAAATTCTTGTCAGTACAATAAAAAGAAAGAATGAGCGACAATGAGCTGTGATCTCAGCTGCCAGAGCACATATAAGAGAGACAAACAGTTTAAGCTCTGTTCTACTGACGCAAAATTTTGGTCCTGATTGATTTTTGATTTACGCTCCATGTACAACCTGAAGCATATATCTGATAAGGAAAAAATCAACCTAAATGGCTAAAACTGGAAGAGTTTTAAACAACTTATGCAAGGTAGATAATCTGGGAAATTAGGGTACTAAACCTGGATCTGATGTGTATGGAGAAGAACCTCTGCTTCATGCAGAGCAGTTGGAAGTCTCTGCACTGTCTAAAGGATGGCAAATGCAAAATTCACAAGCTTATACATTCTATGCAACAATAAAATAACTGAACTTGGAGAAAAACAGCTGCATCCCCAGAACTTAAATAAGATAGACCCATTCCTTATAAATTAGTTACATTCCTTGAACATAGGGTGAAGTGACTGAAATGTAACGGAAGAACCAAATATAAATAGGTACCAATAGGACCAGCCATAATCCCATGTGTGAGGTCTCCAGTCTTCAGGACCAAGATTCACAGTCATTTGAAATACAGTTGTGTACATCATGTGAGCAACCATGCCCAGGAGACCTAAAAAATACAATATCATAACAACATTAGAACATGTAAATTGAAGGCATTCTTCTTTCTCAACTTTTTACAGTTGTGCCTTGAATACTTGAGGCATGGAGTCATATGCCCTTTCCCAGGGCCTTAATTGCAGCCAGATTTATCAAAGTTATGTAGGTGAATGAAAAAGTGAACGAACACTTAATGGCCATTAAAAAGCACTGGAAGTTTAGATTATGAAAGGGGCTTATATTTAATAAGTTAATTTTCAAAATTGCTGCTAGGCTGCTGACTAATCTTAAGGGCATTGGTTTTCCTTTAACATTTTATCTTCCAGTAGTGAGCTTCCCTGTGAACGTGTATTTTTTTATTTCCAGCTTCACTGACAAATCCATAAATACCTTTGCAGTAATCAACTATCCCACTGTCTAAAACAGATTAGCTTTCCAGAGCAGACAGTCCTCCACCAAACTCTCAGGACCAATTTGTTCGGTGTTCCCAAAGTAGGTCTGTTTCATGAATTCTTACAAAACTAGCTAGCTAGCACACATCTCCCAGTCTAGGACACATGTTCTCAGGCGTAACAAGTCAGGGCTGATAATGACCTGGCTTCAGTAATCACTGGGAAATGGTCTTCCCTGAAGTACTGGTATTGCCTGAAGCATGTAGCACAAAACCCAAGAGGCTTCATGCTGTGAACATGTATTTGGTAGTTAACTGGCACCCTGATAGCACATTCCTTAATAAACTGTCCGCAGAGAGTAGCCTGACTTACCAGTGTGGCTATTAGAGAATGGAGACCAGTCGTTCACCTCTCACCAGAGAGGTGGTACCTCATCGCTATTTTTGATTTACACAAATGTCTGTCCTGAATCCTCCGGTGTAGCTGCCTAGAAGTGCATATAAGTGGAGTGTGAACATGAGCTCCAGCACAGGAGCTCTCCTCTTAGCTCTTGTACAAGGATTAAATTCTGAGTCATGCTCAAATTTCAGCAGTGGCATCAGGGCAGTTTGGTGCTTGAGAAATTATGAAAGATTAACTAATATAGATATATTAGATATAGATGTAATAGATTCATAGATAGGCACACACAGTCATAGATGGGTGACTGTCAATGTTCATTTTCAACAAAGGCCACTGAAGGCAGCAGGACAGTGGTATCAATAATGTGTATCTCATAGCGGCGGAGTTAACTAGCAGTGCACATGTATTTAAGAGAAAACATTCACAGATCAGAATAATCGTTTCTGTAGAGTCAAAAGCTTCATGTGGGATGTTATAAACCCACATAACTATAGCAAGAAAATTTCACACTGTGATTTTTCTTTTAAATCACCATGTTCTGCACAAGATGGAACACACATTTTAGGATTTTATTCAATCAGTGCTAAAGACTGAAGAAACTGAGAAGGTCAAACCCTAGCTTTAACATGCTTTTTTCAATAGTTAAATACTGTAACAGGTTTTTTTAATTGTGTTTTCAATATAGCTAGAATTATGCAGGTACTGTTTCCAGTAGCTGAATTTTAATTTGCATTTGTCCACTAGAATAAAGAGCATAAGAAATTATATCTTCATTACAGATTACGGCAACTAGATTTGGTTTATATCTACAAAGGATTTATACATGTTTAATAGCTAAGACAGATGCTCTTCCACTTTTTAATATTTAAAAAAAAATTCCTAGAGGAAGTAAAAGAATGTCCAGGAAAAGCTTGTTGTGTAAGCCTCCTTAATACTGTACATGCCCAAACCAAAAAGATTATTAATAAAATTGAATATTTATGATTATTGGGAGAGGGAAAATCTGATAGTGGGCAAAACTATCTAAACAGTTGAATAAAACTCACTATTTCTTTGGAAATAGACATGACAGTGGCTTATGAGGTTTGGTGAGATAAAGGAGAAAGGGGGGGGGGGAGGTAATTAGTAGAACTGGTGAGAATAGCGATTTTTAACTAGTTGAACACCTTTCAGGAAAGTCATTCAGAAGAAAGGAGATATTCCAGCAGGTTCTCAGAGTTCACAGGCAGCAAAGTCCAAGAATTGCTCTCTGAACTCTAGGGAGCTGAGAGAGAAATCTTCAGATGTGTAAAAGTTAACTGCAAGGACGAAGGAATCATCTGCTCTCTGTTGCACGTGGGTAAACGAAAAGAAATGTTGCAAAAAAATTACAGCAGCTGGGGCTTTAGATTAGACATGAAGAAAATATTTAGAACAGTATGAATTGGAATAAATTTCCTAAGAAGGTGACAGAAACTTTAGTTCCAAAGAGAGAACATTGGTTTGTTGTGGGGTTTTTTTGGTGATGGGTTTTTTTTGGCCTTGGGGATTTTTTAAGATGAGGGTAGACAATTATCTGTCAGGAAAGGTTTAAGAGAGTTTGGACTAACTCAAGGCAGAGTCATGGGTCCCCAGAAGCTTTACACTTCCAAAAAATTAAGCAAAATTAGAGTGTTTCTGAAGTCACCATCTGGAATATAAAATGTGTTTGTTAAAGTCCTTGGTTGTTCAGCATGATGTCCACATTTAGCACTGCCCTCTAGGAATATTGTGCAAAAACAGGGCTAGAGAAAGACTAGAGAATCAAGAGTGATCTTAGAAATACATGTGAAGTCATACGATATATTTCTCAAACATTTCTTTTAGAGAAGATGGAGACATGTAATTAGTTGTCTGCAACTATGCAAAGGCTTCTGCAGAAGATAATTATTTCTTCTGCATTATCATGGTCAGATGTTTAATGAATTTAAATTATTTAGTAAACAAAAATGAGATTAGTAAATTAATTACATTTGTGATCATGTTTAATAGGATAAAGTATAATAAAAATCTTTAAATCATGAAGAAAAGCACAATAATCACAAATGTATGAACGCTAAATCCAGAAACATTAGGATTAGGATCAAGGTCCAAAATTTTGACCAAGACAATCTTGAGATTAATTCATCATCTGGCAGGTGTTTGACTTGCAATTAGATGCCATACTAAAAGATATGTTTTCTCCATGTACAAATCACTTTGAATTCTAAACAAGCCTGACCATATGAAGCACAGTGGCATGTGTTCCACAAGAAATTATAGTAAATAAATAGTATGATTGCTTCTGGTTATAAATTTAATGACTCTAGGATACATTTTCCGTGTTACCCTTAACTGCTGGTTTTACTGCAACATTCCTCAGTAACAATTCTATAATGTAGACAGAGTCGGAGTACTTCAGCTGCAAGACACCTTCAGAAGTCTCTGGTCCAACTTCTTCCCACTCAACACAACTCAGACCAGATCCCTTAGACTGGACAAGGAAACCTCTGAAGTTTCTTCCAAACTGAATTTGCCTAGGATAACATGGTTAAATAGCACTGGATAAAGAAGTAACATGCAGAAAATGAAAGACAATTTTCATAATTATTCTCTACTAACAGTTATCCAATTACATTTTATTCCTTCCTAAAAATCTTATTTTAATTTGATTATTCCTAATTTTATACTTAACATGTTGGAATTTTAAAAAATCAAGCTATTTGGAAGAGTATGTTACTTTTTACCTTTGACAACCTACCTGTCAATGAAAATTATAAAGTTAAAATAATTAAAATAGTAAAATCTATAAATAAGTATTAAAATAATCATATTGCAAAATGCTTAATTAAAAATAACATTTTCCATTAAATTTTTCTACATCTTGTATTGTTAGCATCTCCATAGGTATTGTAATAGTTTTGAAACTTGAACACTTACTAATTTTCAGGTGGACATCTATCTATGTTGCATTTTCTGGATGCAATAAATTGAGATCCTTAACTGTACCTGCTAATACGGTGACTACTGCTGAAAAGGCGTTGATCTTTAGCCCATCAATGACACCACTGCAGTAGCACATTTCTACTGACATAAGAATGGCTCCAGTCAGAAGCAAAATGATGTACAGAAACTCTGCTACAATGGACAGCCAGAAAACCCCTGGAAAATCAAATTAATAACACTGATGTTATAAGCAGTCATTCAGTATCTTCACCATTTCTTTCTTCTTCATTTATATTGTTTGCACAACATTAAACAAAAGTTCAGAGGCTTTGAGGATGCTGTTATAACACCTATAGGAAGACTTCAAGGTCAATGGACACCCTAAATTATAATTCCCTCGACTGTTTTGTCTGTTTAGTGGAAGAGCACTTGCACATTCCTGCTATACAGCTAAGAAACTTACAGTACAGGTGGGGCAGTATGGTTTTATACTCAGTAGCTACTAAAAAATTACAATGAACCAAAGTTCATTCAATTATCTAGCTGTTGACATCATGGTTGCCGAGTCCAGAAAGAACTGTACCAAAACAAAAAGACCATGTTAGCCCACTAGCAAACTGAAGGCTGCACACACAGCCACATGGCCTGAGGGTCTAGTCATTAAATAAAATCTTCCCAGTAGGTTTAATTTTCCACCAAATAGGATCTTGATTTTTTTAGACAGAAACACCTTTGTTAGCCTCCAGATATCACTGAGATTCATTTTTCTGCATATCTTCTAATTAATCTCTTTCTGATTATCTGTTAATTATGTCTTATGCAAGAAGTTAATCTTTCCACTAAAGTCTCTCAACCTGCTGTTTTACTATTAGCATGCTAATGTCCCACAGTCAGGAGCAGGAGGCCTTCTTGTGTACAGATCATAGCAACCTTCCCAAACCTTTTTAAAAACAAGTAAGTGTGGCCTGAGACACCTGGTTGTAGATTCAAATAGTGATTACATGTGAAGGTATATACTAACAGGGATAGCATTTTTTCTGGTTTTAAGTTAAGACATGTAATTGATTACTAAACACTACATATGTCAGGAAACAATGTTTGTGTGGTAAATAAGCCCTACTGTGGGCTTTCAAAGGCCATTTAGACATTAAATTCTTGGTCCAGGCTGTGTGTAGGGGTTGCTGGACAAGGTTTGTTTCTCAAAAAATTCTTTTCCTCAATACACAGTTCTGATTTTGTTCAAGAACTCCAGTTCTTACATTGCCCAACAGTATTGGCTGCTCCAGCTATGAGAGTTTGCATCTCAGCATGTTTGATAAGCGATAATTGTTACATATGCACTAGCCAGCTGTGATAATCCCTGGGTATGATGCCTAGGGATAATAAATTCAGGAGGGGTGCACCTGACGCATCCCGAGTTCTGTGTGCACAGCAGTTATATGCATGTGCAGAACACAAACTCCGTCTTCTGTGTGGGGCAGGAGTCTATTCCCACAGGGGATTTCACTGCCAAGGGATAGCTTCTCAGTGTGGTTATCAGGTACCTAGATGTTGTCTTAAGTGTCCTGATCTGACTTGCCTGTGGCATTTGCCAATGCTGTTCACAGAGTTAGTTTCAACACTATGTCCACCAGTGGTTTCACGTGTGAGGAGCTTTCAGGGCAGGGTCATAATCTACCGCTCCTTAGACTATGTGACTAAGAACCACAGCTTGTTTATATTTTTTTCACATGGTATAAAAATCTTGAATTATTTCTGCAGTGACAAATAGAGGGAAGGAGAACTAGCCTTCAGACACTGAGTATTTCTCCTACCCCAAGGGGCTGAAAAAGCCTATGTAGGTAAGTACTAGTATCCTGGACATGCAGTTTCAACTCCATGGAGAAGGAAGACTTTGTTCTGAATCAGCCACTTGCAAAGTGACTGGTCTAACTGCATCAGTGATATGGTTTACATTAGAGGGGAGAGATTAACAGCATCTGCAGGCACGTTTTGTAGGAACATGAACTGTTATTTGAAAGAAAGAGGGCAACTCTGCTTCCAGGAGAATGGAAATTCCTCCTTGCAGATCCATGTAAGGTACTGGGAGAGGATTCAGACTGCTATCAAGACACACGTCCTTCAAGCCCCCTCAGCATACTGCCTGCTCTTCACACTGAACAAAACTGAACTTCACACAGTGAACAAAAAAATGGGATTAAAGCAAGCATTTCTGATATAAAAATTCAGTATATTTATCTTAGTAAATGTGATCAGGAAAGTTTTATTTTACACAAAAAAATATGCATACCTACCTCGATCAGAAGCTGGAGTCAGACTGATGAAGCTTCTACACTTCTCACCTAATAAAATTTAAAAATAATATTCAGGATTATTTTTTATTCTGTAATGAAATAGATTAATATAAAGCAGAAAATGCAAAGTCTATCATAAAGTCACAAACTGAGAAACAAACTGAGATCCGGAGAAACTCTTTCTGATGTATATTTACACACACACACAGACTCTTGTACATGGACATACTCCTGGGACTTAACTAGAGAATCCTTTTAGACTTTAGGGCAGAACCAGAGTCTGAGAGATTTAGAGAAAAGCTATGAATTGATTTCTAAAAAGTTGTAGCTCTGAACGCCAGAATGGGAAAATGATGAACTCCTTTGAAAGACTGGCAGTCTGTACACCATCTTCCTTCCCTGTGAAAGAAGACTTGCTTTCCTTACAGCAACAAGGCTGCTGCTCACACAAATTTCTTCTAAGATTGACTCCAATTTCTTTCTGTAAGCTTTGATTTTCAAACTCATATGACCTCCTGATCCCCACACAGATGCTGTGAACAAAGCTCTTTGAATTAATCTGTTCTGCTTTGAAAACACAGGGTGTGGGGTTTTTTTAGTTTCTAACTGCACCAAGTTGAAAGAAAAAAAAAAAAAACAAAACAAAACTTCCATAGCAGATGCACAAATTGAACAGCTTCACTATCCATAGCAGTCACCACCTGTAAGATGTCATTTGGACATGTACTTTGCTCTGATTTTCAACATCTACAACTTTAAAATTGCACAATTTACAAGACCTTCTGGTAGAACTGGACTTTGAGGACAGGTGACTGCAAAAGTATTTTCATTTTATAACACAGATGACAGCTGATTTGATTTCTCTGAAGTTTTGTTATAGTTGTCATTTGTAAACTGATCAAGGCAATAAGGGAAAAAGCTTAGTGTTGATTTGAATTTACAATAAATGCCCTACTTCTTGACCCAGTTAAGCAATTCCCTTATATAAAGATGCAAATTTAGCTAGAAACTATCTTTAATGGCAAGCTAATTTCATTCTACTGATATTTACATACACAGAGAGAAGCAATTAAATGCCACCACTCATGACTAGTAATTCTCCAAATTATGTTTTAGCAGTTTGAAAATAATTGTCACTGCTCTGATTTATGAAAGGTGAGATCACAGTAAGAAAGTAGGAATACCTGTGATTAAGAAGAAATCCGTGAAATATCTCACTGATATTATTGATCAAATGATTTTTAAAACCAAAAATCACATTGTACTTTTATGTTGCCATAGGGGATTGTAAGCAACCATTTAAGGTGAATACATTCATTTTTGCCTAAGGGACTAAAACCATCAGAAAAATAAAACACTTTCATGTTAAAGTAACTTAACTTTGCTTCTTTGGTTAGAAGAATACAAAAAAAAAAAAAAAAAAAAAAAAAAAAAATCTGTACTACAACATGTCACTCTAAAGTTCTTTACAGAATTTACTAGCAATTTTTTAGGAATTGGCTAGGTAGCACCCTTTAAGATCTCCCTTTCCAGAGAAGATCAACTTTTAAAGGATACTTTTTCATTTAAAATGCATACATATTGCAGCAAATAGGAATGTGACACCAAATAAGTAGGAAGAACTCCGATTACTTAAGTAAATTTACATGGATTTACTCACCTTCTTCATTTATAATTTCTTCACAGGAATACCAAATCCCAGCATGAAACTTCCGGTCAATAAACTTGTCATCTCCTGTCTCCCAAATGTACTGCACAGCATTGCTGTTGCTGGCATTAGGGCTACTAGAGTGGATGCAGTGATGCCCTTTGCTCTGTCCTGTACAGAAAGGTTTGGCAACTTTTCTTGCTCCTTCACACCAGTAACTGCTACTGAATGCTGTAACGGACAAGGCTAAAGAGAGAAAACTGAGAGAAAATGCTGCTAAGGCTCTCTGCCGTCTGTCTGCAGCTGGAACTGACACTGGCATCCTCCAGGACTCCACTGTCAACTGTTCTAGAAACAATCTTTTACAAAGCTGTGTTGATATCTGCCTGGTGAAACACCTGCTTGCATTTACAATTTCATTCTTCATTCCTCTCAGAAAATTGTACCAGCTTAGTAGTTAAGACAGAAAGCACAGATATGGGCATGTCCAGAAATCATGTGGCAGGAGAGATTAAGGATATTGGACAGTGCTGCTTAGCAGTAAAGTCTTGTGAAAGAAATATGAGGAGGCAGGACAATAAATTATAGTTCGTACAATGACTCAGCGGAGTAAAGATACACAGAATAACACAGAAGCATCGGAAGTACCCCAGTACGTGATCAGAAAATTCTTATTTATATAAACAAATTATTCATTTTTAAGTTGATCAGCAGGTGTAGTCAGACTGATCAAACTCCTCCATTTCTCAGCTAGCAAATAAACAAATCTTGCAGTTCTAAATGCTGCTGGTTCACTGAACACTGATTTAATTGAATGAGTTGTGAATCTTACTACAAAGAAGTTCCTAAGGAGATAAAACTAGACTAAGTGTACTAGTTTGAAAACAAAACTAGTGGGAGACACCAAGTCAGAATAACAATTTAATAGGGAAATAAAAAGAGGGAAAAAAAATATAAAGGCAAATAACACTGGGTTAAACTAACAGAGTCAGGATACAACCTGACACCCTGTTAATGCTGGCTGCAGTCCCCCTGAAGTGATGATCCTGTGAAAGAAGGTCTGCTCTTCCTCAGAAAGTCCAGTGTAAAAGGAGGGTCTCTGGTATTTAGAATCTCAGATTATATCCAGGATGGAATGCTTGGTTCCTCCCTCTGGACCATCTTCTGTTAATGAGCTTAATCAACATGACTCATTATCCCATTGTGAGATGCTCCACCCAGAGGGAGGAACCAATGCTGCATGGCATTGATGGGCCATTAACAGAAAGACAGTCTGGGGGGAGGCGGCAAGGAAACACTGCCCTACCTGATTTCAGTAGTTCCTGAGGATGGTAATAAAATATGCTGCAACCCAGGACACTAAGTTAGAGCATTCCACAGCCTTAGAGCACTTTTTAAGACCACTGAGAAGGTGACTGCATCTGTTTGAAGTTCCACCAGTGACAAAGGAAAGTCAGAAGTTACATGACTTCACTATTGATGGGCTTCTGGACACTGTCTAGTCTGCCTCCATGAACACATAATAGAAGTGTTCCTTGGTTAGGTGAAACAGTAGAGAAAAAGCTGAATTATCTGATTGTCCATCTGTGATATCTGTGAAATAGCATTTTTTTTCCTTCATCTAAGAAACATTGCCCACCTCGACATGTTATATATGTTGCTTTTTTCTGCCTGTTGGGTTTTTGTTTGGGTTTTTTGGGGTTTTGGTTGGTTTGTTGGTTGGTTTGTTTTTTTTTTTTCCTTAATGAAAATGAGTGATGCTAAGAACCAGAAGGAGCAGGAGTGTTAGTAAATGATTGCTTCATTTTATAACCGTAAGGCCAAAACACATGCCCGAAGGGAGAGAGATACCTCAGGATAGACATTTGTGTATCTTTTAATGAAAATAGTTCTGTATTTTAAGACAAATCTCTACCCAGAAGAAGTCAGGGTTGGAGAAACATGTGGCTAGACAAGTCCCAGCAATGAAACTCAAAGAAACAGGATAGATGCCTGCTTTAGTCTGTTACAAAGATCTCCAACTGAAGAGCTGCTCAGCAACAGAGTGAAAGACCAAGCAGGTATCTAGACTAAAAAGACAGATCAGATCTCACACCCTGAAAAGCGGACTGCAGATTGAGCCAGGAGTTATTTTTTCCCTACAGCTCTGTGTTACTGGATTTTCACAAGGATGTAGCACTCCATGGGAATCCTCTGTGCATTGCTACTGCTTCCGGACAGCATTACCAACTGCCCAGGAAGTCTGAGAACAGGATCAGAGGGAGGGAATGAAGGAGGGAGAAACATTCTTCTAAGGATTAAACACTTATCTACGTTCCTATTCCCAGGAGTAATCTGCATATGGCAGTATTCAAACATATTTTGAGCCTGTGAAACTCAAGGAAGTTGAGTTGACTTGGGAATAATACCAACACCTCTTCAATATGTACAAACTTTGCAGTTTTATATGCCCATTATAAAATTTAACTAGCATAAATGTCAGAGTGTTGTTGTCTTTTCTGACTAAATAGACCTTGTACTAGGCTGTGAATCAGTCTCTGGAGACTTCAGAAAAAGCTCTCCCAATTGATATCTTCTGATTGACAACTGTAATCAGATTTTTCACTGAGCCAGTTTTCTGCTTATGCCCTATCAATGTTAGTACCACAAATTTTAAACCAGTTTGCCATGTAAGAATGCTCTGTATAAAAGGAGAAATGTATTGCATGAACATTTATTGGTTAGACCTCTCATACTGTGAAAACATAAAGAACATAAAAGAGAAGCACATAGATAAACTGGACCTTCCTTCAAACACAGTGCTATAATAATTGATTTTTGCTGGGGTAAAGTTGAGATTGAATGAGGGTGGGCAGCTGTGGCTAGCATTCAGCATTATGACCTTCCTGATTTATGTTGTTCTAGTAAACACTCTGAACAGTAACTTAGAAATTCAAACTTCAGCTCTGCATTCTGACTTCACTACCTAGTGCCACAATTTATTAGCGTAATTACAGTACAAGGATACTTTAATGTGGGTCTCCTGCACTGAACTGCTCCTGGGTAGCACTAACTAGAAAGGGACCACAGAGCTTCTTCAAGTATAAACTTCAGAGGATTTTTAAAAGTGAGCAGGTAAAAACTATTAACCTGTAGAAGTCAAAAACTGAAAAGAGAGCCTCAGCTGCTGAGTGCTAGCTATCAGTGGAGAAGACAAGAGGACTTGCCTGCTACTGAGCAATACTGAGGATGTGCTTCAGTAGACCCTGTGCATCTGCTCATCTAGGAAGACTTCAGGCTTTCTTGAGCACTAGGACATGTCTTATGGTGATCTCAGAACAGCTCCAATGCCAGAGCGCTGTTCAGGTCTCCTGGCTTTAACCTGCTACAGAGCTGATCTTACTAATATGGCTCTTAGGAAATGGGCTTCTATCCCTTGTAGCAATACACAGATGAGCAGTTACTGGCGGGGTCTTTGAAGTACCTTTCCCTGGTCCCCAGAGTTGCCCTTGGATATGGCAGGGAGTAATATGTGTACTGACACATCCACCCAGGAGGCAGGGTAGTGTAGAGCAGCCAGTGCCCTTACTGCCAGGCCTCTAGAGCAGGCTGAATGCACTTCCACCTTGAAATACTTGTCCCCAGAGCACTTCCATACCCTATGTCCCAGTACTCTTTTTTTACCACATCCAGACTCCATGTAAAGATGAGGCATGAATGTACATAATTTCCTTCCTCTCCTGGATTCCTCCAGAAGAAAGTTTTGACATGTGTGTAGACAGGAAGTCAGGTCATGCTGCTGGGCAGGTTGATGGGGTGTTCTGCAAGGTGTATCTGCCACACAGTTTGGGTTGAGCCTGTCTGGCATTGAAAACTGGGCTACTGCTGGCCTCCCCAGTCCTAATGTTGTACCTCTGTTCTCCAGCTTAGCTGCTTGGGATGTCTGGGAGTTCTGGGAAGGGCACGGGCCATCCTCCAGTACAAATAGCCACAAGTTTCGTTACCCTTGCAAATGGAGGAGGCAACATCTGTTTGACTCTCCATTTTGCCAACTCAAACCATGACAATTGTGAGACCCTAAAATTATTATATTATAAATGGTTCAATTTCTTCAGCCTGCCTAACACATAGATTTATTAATGTTCTCAGGTTTTTCTCTGCAACTAGAAAAGTGGCAAACAATTTTTTTGAAAATTAAAGATTACATTCATTGGTAGTTTCTCCAACATTGCATTTGAAGCTGTACAAAAACCACTGAATGTCACAAGAATTGTAGTAAAACTCTAACTGTTGGTAACATTATATTTTGTACATTTAGATTCTCCCCAATCTTGCATTGACTGTGCATATTTGACAAAATATGATCAGAAAGGATAAAACCAGCTATTGCTGAACTACTTCCTAACAACCAACTAGATTCAGCAAGCTTCTGACACAAAGATTTTTTTTTGTGTTCTAGGGTATCTTTTAATGGTTTCATGAGGTGTATATAAATATATTTATATGTATTTATGGAGTTGGATTGCGTTCTTGTGAAACCACTGGCAAAATTCCCATGGAGTCTCAAGGAAACAGGATCAGCCCTTAAATGTTTTAATAGTTTTCTGACTTCTTATTGGCTAAAGGACAAGCTACAGTAAGCAGACTTTCTGTGAAGTTTAGAGTAAATTCTCTCTGCCTCTAATCAGAAAAAAACACAGCTAGTTGAAGTCTAGCAAGCCTAGACACTTTACTAGTCGTCCTCTTATTTGTAAGAAGATTCATGAAACAGTTGCACTCATAAGAATTTTCTACCTTTTTTTCACAGGACAGGGCGATATAATTGATCTATAGTAGAGTGAAATAACAGCATATTGGGGACAAATTTGTTAGAATGGGTATGGTGACACTTTTTGGTCTCTGTTCCAGCATGGGACTCTGGTTCCGAATACCTCCTGCATCTGCCAGCTCTGTCATGATATTGTTTCTAGTGGAACAGGTAAGATAATTCAATAATTAATAATGGACAGTATAAACATGTGTTCCTATCACACAACATTTTAGCCTTCACAAACAGCATGTTTCAAAAATAATTCTGACAATTTATGTTTATTAAAGGTAGTAGTGAGAAAAGTTGACTGAGAAGATGTAGAGTTTTGCATTAGAACTCACTCTAACTTGGTAATTTATTAGATTTTTTTCTATTAATGATCATTCATACAGTGAATAAATAGTGTTTACATCCATTTATACAATCTTTTATCATATTGGTATTCATCAGTATTGAATTATTTTTATTTTTCAGTTTTCTTACCAGATATAAATACTATTGCAAAACATGTTTATTTTCTACTGGATTTCCTCTGTTCTAAAACCAGCTTTGTTTTGCTGCTAGCATTATCTTTTAGACTACAAGGGGTGAGCATTGAATCTCACATTTGTGAAATTTGGTGGTGTTGGTTTCATTCTGCACCTC